GACCAGCTCGATAAACACTCGGGCTTGGCTTCTGTATCATTTTGTCGTCCACGATGGTCTTTGCAGTGGAACAGTTCACATGACTTGAAAACGCCACCGGAACCACGCCTCTCCAGCTAGCGCAGCACCGGCATCCGCCCGACCATCGTGCCTGAGCACGCGACCCTAACACCAGCCGCATTGCATTTCACGCAGTATCGTTGAGCTTTAATCACTCCCATTTTACATTCAACGGCTAACACCTGACTTCACTCGAAGGTAACTCACCAACCAACTCAGATTGCGTGGCAATCGGTTGGATGTGAACAAACACCTATGGCAGAAGGCGGATAGTAGGGAAAACGGTGAGCACTTTCAATTGCATTCTTAATTTCTCTGTTTAGAATAGACGTCCCTGTTTCGGCTCTGTCTATACTCTCTATTCGATTTCAGAGTTTGTATCCTGACAAATCACTTCCTTCTATAGCTACATGCTGTACACTTTAAACACAATCTCAAACCGTTTTAGGAGGATCAAATATAACGGTACTGCGATACGATGATTTCAACAAGACGTAACTACACTCGACAAACAAAGAGTTGTGTATCCTCCATTCCGTGAACAAAACACAAAAGGAGACACAGGGTAAGACTAATGGAAACAGTGTCTTCACAAAGATCAGCCTTACTAAACAACTGAGTGATAAGATTAGCTCGCTTCAGCTGCATCTTTCTGAAATGAGACAAACGCTGGGTTACCTAGGACCACTTAAAGGCCACCTAGTTGCCTCAGAGGATTTCAACAACCCATCGAAGAAGCCCGATGAGGTCCAAATGAAATAAGTAGGACAACTCATTTTCTACGTGGCATCCGAAGTGCATGAACGAACGCGTGGGCTGAACAACTCTACGGTAGTTAATATTTCTGATGCAGTTAACTTAGTAACGTGAAAACTTCGTCTCCGAGTGCTTTCAACGTGTCTGAGAAGGCAGGCAAATGCAAACGTCTGAGAGAAAAATCACCGAAGCGGTGTTGCCGGATATTTTTCAACCTTTGTAACGAAGAATCTGCGGTCAGACTTGTGCTGCATCGACTCGTCACACTCCAACATACACAGTTCTAGGATGTAGTGGTGAAGAATGATCTGGTACCCTGCAAGTGTCATTTCTGCGTCTGCAACACAAACGCTATAAACGAAAATAAGGTACAAACTGGAATCAGGGATAAAGAAACAGGAAGAAGGTCAGTCCGATGGACATATCAGCTGCGTTGACGTGTGCATGCAGCACATGTAAGCAACCACGGCACTAATATTGGTACTTCTTGAATATGAGTGAACAGATCGATGCTCTGAGGGAAGCTACGTGGCCAGAAATTCTATCATTTATGCTTTATTCCTATCATTAAACCGCGTAAACAACGACACTACCTCTGCATGCAAATGGGCGCTCCGGTTTGTCGGTAAATACAATAATTTATATTTATCGAAAAGCGGGAGACACCGTCGGCAACTCGACGGTCACATTTCCCCCCTCGCTTATGGAGATTGAGAAGCGCAGAGAGGTTTTATACTTGGGGTTGTGATTCTGTGTTCATTCTTTCCCTGGATCAAGGGTTGAGCTGCAAATTTCTTGCTTATAAGCTTTCAAAATAGCAATTGGTCTAAGCCTTTTGGCCTCCAAATAGATCGGAATTCAACAGTAAAAATACATGAGAAGTTCGATGGTTGCTGTGAGGATTATATGATGTGATACACGAGGCCGGAGCATTAACTATTGTAACAACACAGCTTACCATTCATTATTCCCACTATCCGCCATAATCGGAAGATAACCAGTAATGCGGCAGCTGCGCCAACTGCAGCCAGTGGGTCTGAAGAAGGGTCATTGGAGAAATAATGAGCGTCGGACCCATGCGCTGTGCGGTTGCGGGCAACATGCGCTGAAATGATGATCGCGTCCACAATCAAACTGATCACAATAACGACCAGGTCCCAAACCTCAATCCAGTGACTGAAAAAAGTTTTCGGTCCCAGTGCAAACAGCTTCATGCAGATCTCGATGAAGAAGATAGAGCTTATGCACATACTGACGCACTGCAATCCAAACCGAGCCTCATTCAAACGGTTCCTCTTTTCTTCTGACTTTTAAAAGAAAATGGGAGTGGACACTAGCATGCGAAAACTAGTCCCGTATCAATAACTTGAGGACCACGGTTGGGTAGAAAGTTACACTGGCTATCTTGTGTACATGTAAGTGGAACGAGTACGGTTGTATTTTCCTTAGACTACTTGAGTGCTATGTTGTTAACAAATTAGTGACAAGCCTAAACCTCAGTAAAAGTGAGTGTTTCTAACAGGTAAACCTTCATTAACAAATTTCAAGCTGTACCACCACCGTGGCAATCGGCGTCCACCACGCTGCCCATGTATAAAAGCAATACCTGTGAGGTCCCACAAAGCGTGTGTAATCAGTTTACTTTTGTAAGTGCAAAATTAAACTTGTTAAAATTCAGTTGTATTCATCTAGCTGTCCAAGTTGAACTCTCTGGTTCGCAAACTGTTTACTTGTTTATTAAATCTGGTCTTTACTGCGCTATCCGAATCGAAGTACCATCTTACTACGTGCATTAGGGTATAGATTGGTTTCCTATGCCGATGGCGGGACCATCTAGTGAATGTACCGAAACATGCTCACTCTAAATGTAGCCAACACGGTTCAATCGCTAAAGATCTGATTCTTACTTTAATAAGCTCATTGGTATTCAAACCAATGGAAAGTGTGCCAATTGGTTGGAAACCTTAAGTAGATGTTGGTTTTGAATTCTAAGCCACAGCATCTTTTTGAATAGAGACCCACGTGATTGAACTCGCAACAGCTTCATCCAAGTCTGTAAATACAACGTATGGCGTTTGAGATAAGGGCAGCAAACTCTGTGCTAAGCCACACCATTCATGTAGTTTTCCAATAACCTTTTGCGTCTTGCGGCTACTCGTTAGTAGCCATAAGCGGCTGGTTGCGCCGAGGCGGTACCTTGGCAATAATCAGCTGTATTATGGCTCATCTTGCTGATAGGGGGCATGAGATTGCCTCAGTCCGTGCATTTCGGATACTGTACATGGTTCCTCCACTCCAGTCAAAAGGTCTGTACATTCACACCCTTGCTACTGTAGGGGCTATCGGCATTGGGTTGTATCAACTGCTATGTTGTGCACAATGGAAGCTGATCAATACTGTTAAGCCACCTTGGACAGACAATACGGATCCTTATGAAATCGGCTATAATTGTTCAGCTACATCTTTGTCCTAGGTTGTCGTTTGTTGCTGGTTCATGCCTTTGGTCGACATATGAGCGAACCTCATTTGTTGATCAAATCCTATTTTCCGTCCATGGCTATTTCATCAATATTATTATACTGGTCTGAGGATGAATCATCGAAAACTATTGTTTACGGTCCGTCTTTAGTTCCTGATCAGTAAATGAAAATTTTCAGTTACTATATCGTGTAGCTTTATTTAGGTTAATTGAGTATGATCAGCTAATTACCAAAAGCCACTCACATCCGCCGCCTTGAGTGTCTCACTCTCCAGTAGCAACACTACAACCAGTATCACAGCGTTAATCCAAGCCATAATGATAATAGCGATGTTCACCGGTATGGAGTACAGAACACGCAGGATAGTACGCCTGCATTTGGTAGAGTCGGGAAGCGCCTGTAAGCTCCATGGCTTGTCCACTTTGAGAAATTCCGAAGCTTTTCTAGGTAATCTGTGCCCCTTTCGTCATCCGTCTGCACTGTTTTTGCAAATTCGCCTTCTGCGGAGCAATCGCAGTTGATCCCGCTAGTGGATTTGGGAGGCATTTGTGTCGAAAGGGAGTAAGATAGCTGTAAAGCAGGAGAATCGAGGTTACAGTAGTGTGAAGAGCGATGCAGTTGGATACGTGGCTTTACTTCTTAAACTTAATATGAACTGGCGTTCCCTTGCGTTTACAGTTATATAATGTTAACTCTTACTTTTGCCATAGTGTTCCATTTACCAATGCCTAAAAATAAATACAAGTGTGATAGGATTGCGTAATTGCAGTGAACGAATGGACTCTCGGAAGGCATCAGGATGCATTCCTTGGACCCAGTGAGCAAATTCATCCGTTTACAATTCTCAACTGCTTGGTGGACATTTGGTAGCGCTATTCTGATCTTCCACCTTTCTTGTTTAACTGGGTCATTTTCATTTACTCCTGTTTGCCAGATAAAACCAACCATGTGTAAAATGCATTGTGACATCCATTTGTTTGTGCAGACAAGAGCAGAGAGAACATGAGAGCGCATATGAAAATCATATCCCTGCATCGGTAAAGTCTGAGTGTTGCGGAAGGCAGGAGGTGTAAACCAAATGACTGCGATAACCGCAGTTGAGTCACGAGCATTCCCAGTAGTAGCTGATTACACATGTGCTGTGCTGGAATTGGCTTAGTGCATTAGGAACCTTCTATTAATTGTGCTGAAATAATGCACCATACAGAAAAGGAAAAAGTGCGGATTAAAGTTTCGTTTTTAGCGGAATCCCCGACTGTTAAGGATTTAGGTAGTAGCATATGTAGAGCTTTGTAGGTACAGCAAAAAAGGATTGGGTTGTTGACAATAGTATATGATATATGTGTTCTAAGTGTAATGTAGTCCCGCGGAGCCCAGTCAGATAGCCAGCAGACCATTCGACAAAAGTGTGGACCTAATCATCATGTCTTTCACTGGCCTTGATATCGTCCCGCGTTACTCAATTACCCCTTCCCTGCTGAAGTCACTTCAACATTAAATGTGCATATAAGTATGAACCCCCCTTTTATCTCTACCTTCTGTCAACGTTTTAATTTGTCCTTATAATCTCATTACTGATGAATCGATATGACCGAATGCGGTTGCTGCCATATTCCTAAGCATTTTACTCCTAGTCTTTGCGTACTTTTCTTTGCGTTTCCTCCTAATCCCTGGCCTCTGATGGCAATCTCTCGCTTCTACATACTTCTGCTGTAGAGCTCGTTCTTTCAGCCACATGGTACATTGTTGTAGTGCAATATTAGCTGGATGCCTTTTAAATGCAAATTAGTTGGGAACTACCATAAATTATACTCACTGGTCTACGGAAACCGTATAAGAATCGCATACAGTATGGGATAACAGCTGAAAATGCTAAATCTTTTCAACAAAAGAATTACTCCTGAGCAACCCAGTCTAGAAGCTTCTGAAATCGGAAGCTGATCTGAACAATGACACTGGGGAGTGAGCAACTTACTGGGGACATTTCCCGAACAAACATAACATACACTAGGTCATCACTAAAACTGTCGTTTGGCTGGCAACATCCGTCCCCCGTTGCCTTTAACATAATTTTCGATATCGCCTACCAATTTCTATTAAAGCTACGCACCAGCGCTTCATATTATTCAATTCTTCTCTGTCTCAATTCGGCGTGGATTCCGGGTATCACAATAGAGTCATAAACCAACATCTGATCTGCTTTCGGTATGTAGTAAAAGGACGGAATTTGCCGGGTTTCAAATGGGCAGAAACCCACAATTCACTTTGATGACCCGCACTAACTTACACTTCCCATTTGCGCAACTTCTCTCCGAATTATTCTGTCCACGTTCTTTGAATTACGCTATTTCCGCTCGGGTTGACGAGCTTCTGATTCTGAATACATTTTCTCAGAAAGAATTTTGACATAGCTTCCTTCTATCGGAATTCGCAAAATCTTGAAATTGTTTGCCATTACTCAGGCGCAAGGTTTTCCGCTCTTACAAACATCCACCTCGGAGGTTGGCCTTATTCGATAGAGGAATATATCCTCATTACAGGAACTCCCACACCTCTCATGTCATTAAAGAGTCTAGAAGCCACAGTGCAGATTAACTTTCCGTTGTGAGCTATTTTCAGTCTGGCGACCACAACCAACTTTCTGCACTCGACATTTTGCCCGGTGTAATCGCTCAACCTGTCCTGCACGACTACCGTATGCACAAGCAGTATAATCTACCCGCTCTAGGTGCGAACGGATGACGAAGAGATACATCAGGCCAGGTTCGACTTGCCGACCCACTGAGCGCGATATGAAGATGAAGGGGCGCACGTCACGCGACGGCGAGGAGCGCACAAATCGTAGCCTACGCAGTGACTGTTTGACCACAATGACCAAAAAGCCGTGACCCAAAAGATGGTTTACTGTGCGGCTCAGGGTTTCTTACGATATCACAATAACGGAAACCTATTCCAAACGTCCAGAACACGAGCCGTTGCGTGGGAATCATTTTCGCTCATACTGTGCACCAGCTAACAGCATCCAGCAACTGGGGTGCCCATGCTCATCACGTGGAATAATAACGGTACATCCGTGAAGCTCTCTGAACTGGGAAGGTCACACTTCAGGTAATTTCAACACTACTGGTTTCGCCTCACTAGAAGGGCGGTAAAATGAGGACACGGAATTTGATTTTACTGGCTTTACAGATGGCGAGAAACTAATGCGTAGCGAGCATAATCTGCGCAATACCTACAATTTGGAAATACGATTAAAGGCAACAATTGGAGAACCGCAGCTACCTGACATTACCGAAGAAACAGGTCAATCACAGGATCAAATCAGCCACAACAGCGATTCAGAAAATTGTGTGCTCACACCGCTAGCCAATGAGAAGGTTGCTGTTGGATTGCATTCTGCAAGTGCAGGTAAAACCAAGAACGGATTACGTTCAAATCGGAATTAGGCGCCGCTTGTTACACCGGCAAACGAACCAAAAAACGACTGGGTGCTGGCCTATCATTGGCCTGCTTAAATTCTCGCCATTCACAAGCCCCCGCAAACACTTTTTGACGTTCATGAAGCTATCCTGTACATACATCAATAGTCATGGCCTATTTTCTGAACTTATCGGACTGCAACTCAGTCAGAGATCAAGCGTCGATGACCTTATTGCTATTACGGATACTTAGCTAGGCCTCGGCATTTCTGGCATCGAATTCGGGCTGCCAGGTATGTCCGTTGTTCCACTCGGCCGAGTTAGTAACATTGGTGAGGTGGCTCTGTACTACCACAGTGACCTACAGTGTGAGCCCGTGAAGGAATCAGGCAATATGTTTCATGATTCTTTGTGGAGTCGTCTACACTTGACACGCGACGAAGTCCAGTAGAGGTCGTTTATCACCCCATCTCATACTCCTCAGCATTCAGGCAGGTGATAAACAACAGCCACATACTATTCACTGCCGATTTCGACATCCAGACCCTGGAATCCCAACCCACATCTAGGGAAATGTTCGAAGCGAAGCTACAAATGCTTGTCCAACTTTCACCACTTTCTGACCACATTAACACTCCCGCCAGATTTACTGAGGCATATTGACCATCTAAATTGGATCGGATATTCACCAGCGGATAAGTCATGAACGAGAGCATGATAGTCGACCTCCATTTGTGCCGTAGCGATGATGTAGTCTTACAGTTTGAAAGCATATAACACGCGATGCTTCAAGTGGCAGTTAGCACAGCAAGGTACACTATTATACGCTAGACAGAGTAGCTTTGCTTAGTAGGACAACCAACTGGACCTTTTCGGTAGACGAAATACCGATTGGCGTATGTCCATATTTCGACTGGGCACTTTAACACTCTGGTTGCGGAAACGTAAAAAACTAAGGATCATCACTTGATTAAGAAGCTCTCGCCTGTAGGAAGCAGCGCGCATGGAATTACCGCGGTGAAAACTCCTCCTCGGATATCTACGAGATCTCTCCAAACACACACAGACACTTGACGATTTATGTGGATCAACGTAAGCACTGTATTCAACTTAACCAGAAAGATACAATGGCATATCAGGAGAAGGTTACAATGTGTGTGGTTCCAGATCACAAGCTGCTGTAGCAACATACAGACAGCTTGCATAATGTAAGGCGGAGAATACCTCCTCTGTACACAGCGGATGCAGTAACACTGACCCCGAAGAATACGACGAATGCTCTGCGACCCCAATAGGCACCAACCTTTCGATGTGTTCAATGCCCACACAACCCTGTATCATATGTTGTCCCACAGCCAATACTCAAACATATTTATTTGCAAATAAGAGTGAGCTGAAAATTTTGTTGTGTTTTCTCAAGTACAGCTCCTCCAAAGTGCTTAAGAAGCCAATGAAGTCGATTGCGGCGGTGGGACAGTATTTATTGGAGCATTTGGCACCATTCGTCCAGCGTTGTTTTGTCAAATTGTGCGTACGCTGCAATGGATAAGGAAGTTAGTCGTTCCGATTCAGTCAGCTACCGCGCTGTAACCCTGCTACCGGTACTTGTAACGGTCATGGAAGCTACTGTTACCGATGGACCTACCATAGTAATGTCACAGACCAGAACAACATGACTTACAACGACATTGATCGCCCACTACCAATCTACTGCTAGCACTTTCCGGTTGGACTGAAGCATTTGAGATCTATGCAGGAGTTGCTTATCTGTACTTAATAAATGCATCTGCTCGGTTAAAATATAGCATCCTCCTTCGGATAAGAAAACATGCAACCCCAACACTGACCCGTGTGGAACCCCGCAGTCCACATTAATGGGATCAGAAAACGGACTCCA